TGAAATTATTTTTTATAATTATTAATATTTGTTAAAACACACATTTTAACACCAGTCTACTACCGCTGATTGTTTTAAGAAATACGATAGAAATTTAGACTAACATAAACATTGTAGTTATTACAAATCTTTTTGTAAATAAACTGACTTAAACATGTTCAAACCAGAGCTATTTAAAGTATTACTTTCGCCACGACATGACGGTAAATAAATCGTGTACCAAAGAAAACGAACATTGGGAAGGAAAAACAAAACGCTATGTAAGGAAAATACCTTCAATAACGTGATTGCGTGACCTATGAAGGTAAGCTATAAATTAGGCCAACGCGTACACAACTGTCATACGAACATGACATAAGGGCCCTAAGTTAACCTTGTCTCTTCAAGGTCAACGCCTAAAACGTTGTTTACACTTAAAATCTCCAACAAAAACCAATTAACACAGCCCTGTTATAAAACTTTTTCAATTATTTCCAACAAATATTTATTACTGAAACTCCATTGTCCAAGTTTAGCGCTACGACCAACCCTATTAATAAGTTTGGGTTACATCAGAAATTGAAATTGGGTGCGTCTTCAAAATTATCCCGCATGAATTCGGATCATCAATGTAGTTGCTGACATGAATCTCGACCATGTCCCAAATATTTTTAGGTATATTTTCCCGCATCGATTTCGCTCTAACGACGTCATTATGTAGATTTTGGTCTATATATCTACGGTTATCATAGCCATCAAATGCAAAGGTCGCTTATTCATTGAATTTGAAAATGAAAACCCGTCTGGGACTTGGGACCGATCTTTATTCCGCGAAACCTGTTAGTGACAACCCTAGCAGATAATTTTGACCTGAAGAGTAATGGGAATATGTATCTAATTTCAAGTTACATTGGATATTATAATATATTCTTACATATAACTAGAATATGTAGTTAAATAGTTGAAGATAATGTATTCATCCATTGTTAATAGGTTTTTAATAAAACTTGTATTATGGTATTGTTTTTGTAACAAAACAACTATATAAGTATGATATTCATTGTCATATTAATATTACGGATGTCATAAGAAAATAGTTAATACTTATTATCGATGCATTATAATGGACTATTAAATATAGTTATGTAATAATTAATACATAATATATGTCGTACAGGTATTTTAAAATGCGTTACCTAATTGAAAAAAACAGATGTACTTACATTTATGTATGTGACGTTATATCCGAATCGAATATGTCTTTCACGGTAAATCGGTTATGTTACTCTTATGGCGAATAAATTAGCATACACGTGCTTTCTTAATTAATACTACCTCTTTGGATACCTTATTACCTATTTATAAGAACATGCTTATAATGATAGTGAATATGTATTTACTATCAATAAAAAAACATTTCATAATATGAATTACATAATGCATAAATATCTAAATATATTTATATATATAACAAAAACAATAATTATAAAATTTTAAAATTCATCTAGATTAGGTAGTAAATAAAGCCCTATTATGAAAAAAAAACCTAAAAGGTATGAATAGAAAATAAAAAAAAATAATAAAAAAAATCACTACAAAAAATAATAGAACTACAAATCTATTCTAAAATTAAACTGAACGATAAAATTAATCACATTGCCAAATTTGGCGACTCGATTACTAAACGGCAGATCGATCTACCGGCCCCTATGTAGATGCTATCTGCCGTTTTTACTGGCATTTGGCGTTGCCATCGGTCTCGGTGATGCCAGATGATTCGTGACGATACCTTGACATTAATACTACGGTTGCTAGTTCATTGAAGTGTCGTATGATGTGTTTGGAGACAGATCTTGAACTCATAATGTAATTGTATCTCTATATGTATATGATAGCCTATTTAATCTGTAAATAGGTCGTGATTTGATTAATTAATCTTATAATAAGGGTTTGATCGTGAATTATTATTCTGGGATAGTTTTTATGACTTCTGAGTCAGTTATAATGTTTTTGATCAATACAAACAACTATCATAGTTATAATGTTAACAAAATGTTTTTAAAGATTTTTAAAAAATGTGTAAGTTTGTTTTCATTATTTTTAGTTATTTTCTTTATTTATATTATTAACATTTTAAATATAATTTTTAAACATACAAGCGAACTAAAAAATGTATAACCAATTCCATTAAAAATCACCGTGACAATACAAAAATCAATAGTCAACATCTTATACGATTGAGATAACAAATGACGATATTTTGTTACAATCGTTAACTATTTATTACTTTCATCTTAATGACTTTAAGCTTCGTGTAGAAACCAGGAAACGCTGAACTATCACGCAAAATTTAACATCTAATTACATAAGTCTTTGTTTTATTTCAAGGTCAATTTAAACTAAAATGTATTTCGGAACTAAACTTCGTTGATATCATGATCTTAGAAATCGTATTTCCGCTGTTAAAATAAACAATTAAAAATAAACTATAGGATTAAGCATTAAATTCACAGATTAACGCACCATTTATAAACATGATTAACGTATTAATCGTTTGTAATATTACAATGATAATCGTAATAACGGATGAAGTAAGGATGATTATTATTTACATTATCGCATTATTGCTTCTATAAAATGGTGGTTCGGTATAAGCTTCTAAGGAAAAAGTGACTACAGTTCCCGAGTTTTAATCGATATATTTTTCTCTTTTAATTTATTATGTGTATATAAATTTGCCTGGTTCTTCCACCCATTGGATAGTGATTATCTATTCTTAAAACTAATTACACATAAAGTCATTTGACTTTGTTAATTGCCAAGCAATTAACATTTTAAATTCTGAAATATAACTGCCAAGATTATTACGTCAAATATCTAAGAACCAAACTAAGGGCTTGTTGATGTTTTCAGTTACCAACTGTTGACAATTTTCGACAAATCACGTGCCTCAATTTGGAGAATGTTATTAAACAGAGCCGTATGATTGGTCGATTGTTACATAACGTAATGACGTTTTAGTGTTGTAACACTATTAAACTTTTTTATACTTTTTTGGTCTTTTTGTACTAAAACGAATAACATTGTTTATTCCTTAAGTAAAGGCATAATTTTTAGTTCTCATGTTTATGTGACTATGTACCTATATAAAAAGAATTTACGACACAAAAGGAATTTTAGATAAGTAACTCTTTTACTGCTTTCTTGGATTTATTACAAGAAAAGTTTATAATATAAAAAAGTGGTTGCTCCTATTTCATAATAAAAAATACCTTTAGTACGCAAGGAATAAAATAACATTTTTGTTCTAGATATTTACGTCTTGAAGCCAAGTAGAAGTTATACCTAGAAATAGGACTTAAATATAAATGTAGATTGAACACTGAACACATTCGTTTTTTTTTATTTATGATATCCTAATCTTCCAATACAAAAATAGTTAAAATTTCCTAACGTTTTGATAAGGTTTTTGTAACGTTTCAAATAAAAACGAATTCTTATGTATTTTTTGGTTCTATTTTAGCACACGAGTCGATGGAAAGCGATAAGAAACCAATAAGAAAACGGTGGGTAAAAGCAATTTGTTATAACGTAAACTGCACAGTCCATAAAATTTGCGGACCTATAATGAAGTTGATAGTGCCTACATACATTTATATACATACATATTAGTTGTATGTGGGAGTTAAGTGACGTCATTATTTTGTAGGTAGTTAGTTTTGTTCCAGAAAGATCATCTACTATTTGTAAATAATGCGATCTATGGCGGTTTTAATAAGGATAGTTAGTACTCAATAAATTTGAAAATAGAACGCAATTTGTATTAGTTATCTGTCGGCTAACCTTACGAATGTACGTTAATAAAGGTGGTAAAAACAAAATAGGTATATATAGCTTATACATAATAGGTTTGTCCCTTATTGTGTGTTTTCGGATTTGTGATTTGGACTGTACGGTTTTAGTGAGAAAAAATGTCTTACTTTTTTTTAAATACTTTATTTTTAAATATTGAATGCCTTATGTCCGAAAAAATTAAATACTTTTGCACCAAATTTCATCAAACATTATTTTTTCGTTCAATTTCCATGTTCTGTTTCTATATGTTGTTTTTATATAGCTCTTAGTTACAGAATTCAGATTGCGTCGCGTCGTAAGAAAATCTTTAGAAGAGGAAATGTCAAGATAAGTATAGTTTATCTCGATAAAGAAGTTACTTATCCATTGACAAACCGTCTTACTAAAAAGATTAAATATAATTTTCGTTTTTGTATTTCAAAGTAGTTTTAACTTTTCCTCGTACTAAGGTACTTCGATTTTGTATAATAAGATAAGAATAAGATAGAAATATTATTATATTACAATGAAAAAAAATACTTTTCATTAATTTACGAATAGCATATTTTATGATATTATTAACAGTCGACTTTGCTCTTTTAATAGTCGTGAACTGTTATGATGTAATGAACACAAACATTCGCACATCGCTTGAATGAATCCCTGTCTGAACGTCTGCCAGATCTCGCATCAAGCAGTCAGATTTAGTGCCCACTCTGTAGGTCATGATCACTCTCATGACCACATCTCTAACACCTGGCCCTACTTGTAACTAATTCTCCGACATAACACCTCACAGGTACCTATATCACCTTCGTCGTAAAACTGCACCGCACTTTCTATATCTGCATTCTGTACTAGCACTTGTTGTCATACAAACAATAAGAAAAACATAATGCTCGTCGTCACAACCTTGGTATTAACAACGTTATCGCATTACTTATTCTAAGCACGCGCCCACCACCGTACAGCCGTGAAAACGATTCGTTTTCCTCCCGAACTAACTACCTGATAATAGATAACGTTGCATACGATCTAAACAATCGATCAAAACATCAACGTAAACTGTACATCGAACGTACGCGGACGCAAACAAACGCGGCCTTGAACGCTAAGCAGATCGCCTGAAAATACTCGGCGCGTGGAAATAGCCGTGGTGAAAATACGAGCACGTGATGCTTACGTACCTCGCGAACTGTCGTATGGAGAAAATCGATGGTGCTTGCCACTCGGCGACCGGCGGCGGACTGAGCCACTGTGTCAGCGGAACGCGCCCCACCCGAGCCTCCGCCCGCCTGACTCGCTATCACACTTTATTATTATTAAAAAAAAAATACTTTCACCGTTTTCGCACTTTACAAAAATACGGATGCAACACTTAAAATATTTTAATCAGGCGGCGTCTGTGAGGTTGTGTTTGTTCGCGATCATCCGCGGCGTCGGGTCGCGGTCGGAGCGTGCTGTCAGCTCGGAGTGGGGCGTTGGACTGATCGGAGCAGGCAGCCAGCGAGCCGACGAGGTGCCTCCCTGCCCCCGCCGTGACGTCGGCTACAGCCCGCGATGGTGGAAATTAGCAGCTTCCCGAGCGAGGGTCGTTGGATGTAGGTCACGGGGACTGGGCCTGCACTTGCCCACTCTACCGTGCTGATACACTTGACAAGTTTAAGGACATAACTATTCGTGATTAGGCGCCAGATGAATACTTAAAATATAATAAAGGTTTCTTTTAATCTCGCTACGGATACTACGGTTTCTCGTAGCACGGTTGTCGTAGCCGCGTTTGGTCGCACTATAGCGGTATACTCGCGTAGTTCTTGTAGAAAAGTAATTGTTATACTTAGATAGAGAGAAGGGACATCGTTTCTTTATTAAGGGACGTGAATTGGAAAAGTTTTGGGTCTGAATTTTTTTCGTGTTAACTTTTGTTATCATCGTAATCGTTTATCGAATAAGTTGAGTTTTTCGCGTTCTTGAGTAACTATATTCTGAAGGGACATTAACTTTTTGTGACGTAAAAATAGGATCCTTACTGAAAATGTGTTTTTCTGGTTCGATGACAGTTATTTTAAATTTGAATGTAGGTGCTTATGGTACACATAATTGATTTGCACAAGAAGCACGAACTTCCTTAAAGTGGCGCCGAAGCGTTAATCAAATTGTGTGGGTGTCTGTCGATCTGCGTCCATCGTGATTGTTCGTTAAGTGAATAACAACTAATGACCGAGGGAGTCACGATAAAGAGATTGCTCCGCTATAGAACATAATTTACATATTGTTTCATGACGTGGCTTGCGTTTGTGAGGACCGCTTGATTTATGCGTCGGTTTTCTCATTACAATCAATTTGTATTCCTGTTTTTAGTACGAACATTCGGCTGTACATAAGTAGGTTAATATTGGTAGAGTGAAAGGAATTTTGAATGGACGGTTTCATAATTGTAGATCATCAATCCCGCCCCTTCCTCTATCCCTTCCTGATCCTTATATCCGCAACCCCTATCCCCAAAAGGCCGGCAACGCACTCGTAACTCCTTTGGTGTTGCGGGTGTCCATGGGCGGCGCCGATTGCGTACCATCAGGTAATCCGCCGCCTCTTTTAGCGTACTTATACCATAAAAAAAATTTTTTTGTTTAGTTTTAGCATCAGCTTTTTTGTACGCTTGTTTTTCTTTGTGAGAGGGAAATCATCAAATGACTTATCTAAGAGGAAGTGTCAGACTCTTACTGACTAAAAACCTCTCACTTCTCCTGCTCTGGGCCTAGGCCGCGGTACCATATTGCGCTTGCCATGTAACCCCGGCTGAATTATACGTAATAAAAAAAAAATAAAAAAAAATAAAAAAAAAAATTATACGTATGTATGTGGTGTCTGAATAAAATTAGAAAGTACCTACATACATATAACTTAGAAAAAGTCATTTTGGTTGTCAGGTTTCGAACCCTCATGCATGTAGAGCGAAAGCCTTAACCTCCGGGCAACAACCAGCCAACAATCAGGACAGGTATATAACGAAAGTTACAATTTTACATAGAAAGTTACATATAACATTTAGTACATACCTACAGTTAAGCTAACATTAATGACATAAAACTTTTCTGGTCTTTTAATTGACCTAACTTTTCCTAGTTAACGCTACGTGGAGTTAGAAATGTCACGGATAAAAGTTGGTATTAAAAATTAAAAATTATTTTTTACTTATATATTCGTTACGAATTTCGTTTAGCTTTTGTTTCGGCAGTTCCTTATTTTTTTAAATTCATTCTGTTCGATGAGATTGAGAGCGGCTATATCGACTGTGGTTCAAGGAATATTGAGTTTGTATTCAGTTCGTTCGAGATTTCTTAAAAAACCTAAAAAATATCTCACTACTATGTATTGATTTTACAATAGTGGCCGGCCTTTTGGGATTAAGGTTTTGAGGATTTAGGGATTGGGGGGGGGGATGGTGGAGGGGAGCATTGGGCTTCCAGTAACCTCACTCACACAGCAAAACACAACGTTGTGGTTGTTGCACACTGGTTTTCTATAACGCTGTAATATCACGCTGATACCAGTTATATCTCTAATAATAATAAATCTGCAATATCTAGCCGATCCATTCGTGCAGAAGCATGGCACTCCTACACTTAAATCTGTTAATGTTTTTAAAAGTATGTTACTGGTTAAAGTTCTTTCTAGAATCTTCTTAGTCTAACTATTTGGATACACATGTATGTAGGTACAGTTACATCCATATGTATATACGACCTTGAACTACAAAACTGCCGATTCGTTGCGAAATTTTCATCACCAGCGATGTAGCTAAACAATGATAATTTGTGTTACCTTCAATAGCATTCGTTATCACTCATGTTAAAAAATATCAGTTGACGAAAGTTGTTAGTCAAATTATATGAGTGTTGTAATCTATGACAATATCTATCGTAAAAAGTTATGTGGAATTATGCCATGTTTATGTGAATTATGCGAGTGCTATAAACATTGTTTTGTTTAAATTTCGAAATTTTTTGTGTGACACAAAAGGTTTTATGTTTGTTTGGGACGTCGTAAATTGATGATAAGTGTGGGGTTTTAAATTCAATATTGTTTTCGACGAAGTGTGACCTATTTAGAATCGATTTTGTTAATTTCATTATTTAAATGTGGTAGTAAGATCGAACGCGTATACCATATCTTTTAGTTCGATTCTTATTTATAATCTTGCTCTTAACTTCCAACGAATATTATAATCAGTCACATAATTCAAAATTGAAATAAGCGATGTTTTTAAACAGCTAAGAAAACTCTTACCTGTCGAACCTTAAAAGGTAAAAATCGAAAACCATCAGATTCCTAATCATTCAACCAATAAAAACGTTTGCTTCAACAAATTCCAATATTTAACGCTTCATTTAAGTCGGAAATGACCCTCTCAAACGAAATCAGGAAAATAAAATATCACGTGGAATTTATTAGAAAAATATACACACAGCTGACATAGGTACGTACGATCGACAAATTTGAATTATAACTCTCCATAAGCGTGGTTGTTAAACATTGAAAACGCGTACAATGTTGACGTATCAATACAGTCATAAAGTTAGTCTATGTCAATTTGACAATTTTAAACGAATTACTGTCGAACTTAGTCATGATTCAATTTTGTTGATTGTACCTTCTTAGATAAGTGTCAAATTAAATCTGTAAATATAACTTAATTTTCAAGGATATACACCTAATTTGGTTTACTTACATTGTTATGTAAATAAATATACTCTTGACTTGATGTTTCCTTAAACTTTATGCTACTTCTTTATCGAGGAATTCGGTAAATGCATGACGTAATTTCGGGTTTCAACTTTGAAAGTTTTTTTTAATATTCGAAATTAACTCGCTTTTTTACAAAAAGAGGTCCGCACTTACTACACTTACACTAAAGAGAAACATACTGTAAATTATATATTAATAGGTTCTCAAACAAATACATAAATGAAGAATAGAGAGAAAATTTTTACAGCTAATACATATTATATGTAATTATTATTTCTTTTAATGTTAACTATATTACACACATACTACAAAATAGAAAACAGTAACATGTTTATTTAAAACTAAACATATTAAAGCTCGCTTCGTATTTATAACTACAAAGAGGTTGAGTGCACTTTACGTAACGTAATAATACCCAATACTCTTAGCATTACTTATGTTTAAAAAAGCCTGTAAAAACTAGCAAATAAGGGTCAGTTTCGCTCACGTGGGGAATTTCTAATATATATAAATCTATAATAAATAACTAAGTAATTAGGAAATCATACTACAAAGTAAAGGAGCTCTTATTTTTAATGTGGAAAGGTGGCAAATAAGGCGGATCATATAATGGAATACAATCAGCCTGAAACATCGGGCTTTATGAGTGTGTTGTCGACCTTGGGGCTTAGACTGGATGTTTCCTTCATGGGCTTAGAGATTTGAAGTTTTGGGGCTCGGGGATGGGGGAGGGAGAGGATTGTGGTTGTATCAAGCCTGTTTTCTATGAAGTCGTGGGATCACCCCGGTAATGACCGGGGTGATTTCAACGAATGCGTTGAAATACATAATTTAAGTTTTAAAGTACGTTATTATCACCTGTAATGTGACATAGTCTGGAGTCAGGCAGATAGGGAAGTCACAATAATGGGCTAAAAATATTTTACCCACTGGGTAGAACTTTCCAAAAACTTTACAAATCAGACAAGTATCACAACCAATCTTCTTTATCCATTCATAAAACTCTTTGCTAATGAATTTTATAGAAAATATCTCTTCAGACATTTTTCATTTAGTAAATTTGTCACTATAAAACTTTCTGTCTGTCTGTGCATTAGTGTATATGAAGTTGTATTATGGTCATATGAAGTCTTCTCTCGAGTTTAATTTAAAAGTTTTTGATACGTACCCACATGACGGGTCATTGACCGATAGAGTGTAATTTTTAGTTCACATAGACGGTGGCGATGAGTGACTTTGTAGATGTAGAAAAAAGAATTTTGTGAAGCAGTTTTTGTATTGTTTTGAGTTGCAGTGAAAAAATATAGTACTTTTCTAGAATATTTTAAATCGAAATCTAAATTACTAGGAAGAGCTTAATTATTATTTGCTTAGTCAGAGGAGTCAAATAAATTTTGAAGGCCAAACATTATTAGGTACTACAAATGGTTTACATAAAGATGCAATTCCTTGTTGTGAAATCAGGCCGATTATTGTTTTTACCCATAAAATTACACTATTGAACGCATACAGTTGTAAACAGCGACTTTTTATTATAAAACACTTTCGTAAAAACGACTTTAAAATTATTACGACTACATTGAGAATCAATAAAAATAAGATTTTGTTACGAAAGCACACCACACAACATTGATCAATAACAAATAATCTATAGACCAATATCTTATCCATCTATCGAGATACACATAATTTTATTTCACAAATAGATAACAGATAAAACAGCTGTTTATCTCCGATAAA